TACACACACAGAGCCATGGCCATTACATTGAATGATCACATTCACTCACCAAGCGTGCCCGTGCACGTGTCGCCCCGCCATCCATTCGTGGGAGCAGTCAATTCAGAGCATTCCAGGACTGTCACCGCAAATTCATGGGGCAAGTACGGTGTCGATGTGAAGAGAGCGTGTGAGTGACACAACAAACACAGAAGACAAAGACCGACGGGCAAGTGTAGGAACGAAGGAATGTCAATCCCACATAATCCTCCAAAGACACTGCATGCATTCATTTTAAAATCAAGCCACGCACGTTCACAGTAGGGTTCCGTTCCTGTCCAGCCGTCTGCGGTGCATTCGCGCGAGAAGGTGGTGCCGCGCAGGGCGTAACCAGAAGGGCAGGAGTAGTACGTGCACACGTCACCTGTGACGTGAATGAATATGCATGCATGCAAGCATGTGTGTGTGTGTGTGCGTGTAAGCGGAATCAGCGGCAGAAGACGTGACAGAGTGACACAGCAAGTCGATCTGTTTACGTGGGTGTGATGCAGGCAATCATAAGAGCGACGAAGGATGCTGGTGCGTCATCACCGTAATTGCCGCTGCAGCTGCCAATGAGGGTAATCTGTGAATGCGTCAGCCTGTTGCAAGTGATTGCTACAGTGGATGCAAGCCAACATTTCGCGCGACCGAGGGTGAGTAAAGATGCGTGTGTTTCAACAAAACAACATGGGCAACCAAACACAGCACACGCAGCATACTTCCACAAACGAGAACAAAAGTATGGTCTCACACACAATCACACACAACATACAACGCACACACAACACATACTGTGCATTTGCCCAATGTTTCAAGCCCTCGTTGTAACTTACGTTCACATGTGATGTCTGCACCAGACCAGGCACCATCAGCGTCACACGTGCGCGTTGTCGCTGCGCTGCTGAATTCGTATCCGGTGTTGCAGCTCTCAAACGTGCATTCATCGCCTGCGACGTGCAAGCGGCCAAGCCAGGCGGACAAGCATGTGGATGACGTGTTATTCCTTGGACACAGCACAAACAAGCAGTTCGACTCATGGACCCGAACAAGAAGGGTTTCGCGCACCGACCTTCAAATCCGGTGCAATCACCCGAGATGGTGCCATGGGTGATCGTCAACTGAGGACACACAGGCTCTGTCAACATTGGACACAGCTATTCTAAGTGAGCCTGGGCGCGTCCATGGTGCTTGGAATGACGAATTACTCCGTTCCGCACAGAGGGCACCACAACATCACGCGCACAAAACCGCAGGCAAAGAACCACACGCACACAACGGCATGCACACACACGCACACACACACACACACACACACGCACACGCACACACGCGCGCACACACACACGCACGCATACAGCGCAAACGCACCGCTGCAATACCCGTCGCTGTTGAGCATGGTGCCATCGACGCATTGTGGCTGCGCAACGCATGCAAAAAGTACGTGTGAATGACAATAACATGCACAAATCCACCATCATGATTGCGCATCAGCTGGTCAGCCAGCAGATCGGTTGAGCTTGACACTAGTCACAGCAACGTGTGTCTGTGGCACTCACTTTGCACTCAGTAAAGGTCCACTCGCGGTCACTTGTGGAAGAATCAAATGTGGATGTCAAACCTGTGAATGAAAGCAGATGCACGAGACAGCAAGATGGTGAGCGAGCAGAGTACCATGCATGTATTCGACAGGTCGTGTGGGTGGTGGTGATGCTGCAACACCGAGCAGAGGCAGTACAGCCTCTCTCGACGACAGAGGAGGCGGGTAAACGAGGAAACACACGAACTTGTGATGACATATGCGCCGGAGCTTGTTGAGAAGTCAAAGTCTGCGCCAGCAGCATTGACAGCCACAGCGCCGTTGCAATTCACGGCGGAGATCTCGGTGTTCTCATAGCCAGTGCACTGGAACGAGTACACGCGGTCTTGAAACGACGAAACATAGGCAGACTTCACGCCGGTGATGTCTGCAAACAGGATATGGAGCGCGAATTGAAGACAGAGATGAGAGAAATGCTGTGGAGCGCCACAACACGTGAATGTGGACACACGTAAACGAGCGTGCAAACAAGCAAATGCGTAAAGCAGGTACAATCACGCACACACACACTTGTGCAAGCTGCACCTGTCTTCCAGCAAAGCATGCAAGAGTCAGCGCCATGCATGCGTTGCACGGGTTTGTAACCCGACCGTGTCGCATGCTCGAGTCACAACTATCATCGCCCGCGCTCCCCAATTGACTGACATGTGTTGCTTGGGCAGGAGACGGTGAACGCTGTCCCAAGCTTTCCATAGGCAGGAGTGGACCAGGTCTGGCTGGTGATAACCTGCCCACCGCTGGTTGGTTTCGTGCACGTGAAGGCCCAGCGACGGTCTGTGCTGCTAGCTGCAAACTGTGTCGAGATTGTGGTGATGGCGGTGGAGGTCTCGCAGTACGAGCCAAACGATTCTTGGTAGTCAGCGACAAAGTTCCCGTTGGTGATGCCACTGAGGGACAGCGCTGCCGAGGAGAAAACGGGATGCATGGGGGAAAGAAGTTGGACAAACACACACACACACACACACACACACACACACACACACACACACACACACACACACACACACACACACACACACACACACACACACACACGCAGACAGACGCACACGTGTACATACACAATGGTAACAGTGAGAACAATCAAGAGAAAAGGCTGGTGTAGTCGCGTGAAGTTGCTCCGCGGCAACATGACAGGAAGCTGCTGCACACATGGCCTTGTCACATGCCCATGCATTGGTACGGCCGACACACAGACAGACACACACACACACACACACAATCACACATGCATGTGCGCGCGATGATATCTTTGCGCAGATTTTCATTCAATCTTACTGGTGCACACTCGGGGAACGTCGCTGTTGACGTAGTCGCCAGTCAGGTCGCACTCCACTTCGCACGTGGTGATTTTCCAACGACGATCCCACTCACTAACACGCGCAATCGACAAGGGAGAAATGCATCAGTCATGTGTGCAACGCATGCGCTGTACGAGCGACATTCGCTCGACACACGCGCACTACGCACAAGCATGTCTACACCGCGTACACGTACACATGAAAATGCACACACACGCACACAGAGGAATACATGTTCTTACAAAAGGGTGTCGGTGTATTTGCTGTACAAGCCAGTGATGATCTTGTTGGTGCCAGTGATGTCGTAGTCAAGGTTGCCCGTCCTCGAGTTTTCATAAGACGCTGTGTTGACGAGCAGGTGCGATTGTCATGTAAGGACGTGTGTGTGTGTGTGCGTGTGTGGAGGTGTGTATGTGTGCGTGTGTGGAGGTGTGTATGTGTGCGTTGGATGTGTGCGTGCGTTTGTGGAGATGTGGATGCGTGTATGTGTGCTTGTATGTATGTGTGTGTAAATCGCACTGAAACCCCGTTCACATCACTATGCAACAGCCAACTTGTTTCAAGCACTCGCATGACAAACGATACAGGCATCAAAAGTGACGCAACGCGCATTGCATGGACCGCACATGTTTGTGCACAGTTGAGCAGTTGAACGCTGTCCGGTCGACGGCAGGTGTACGTCCACAAGCGGTCCACACTGCTGTATGTCGATTCAAGCTTCTCCATGTCTGAGTGCGCACAGTTTACAGCATTATTGGGTTAGCGTTGAATGCACACAGTACCACGAGAGTGCAAGGAAATGAGGCGGAGGATGGGATCGGCACAAGAGAGCTCACGTTCCTTGCTCTCAAGCAGACACACACTTACAGTAGCCGCTTGCACAATCGTAGTTGTTGTTGCTGTGAAGGTCACGAACGTCGTAACCACCACTGCTTTGCGTGTCGCTGGAGGCGGTGCCAATCGGGGCACAGCTGAAGTCCCAACGGCGATCATACTTGTTGTCGCTATATTTGCTGGTCATGTAGGTGAGGCCTTCTCCTGTATCGCAGCGGAAGTACAAGTCGCCTCGCTGTGACGTCCCGAGGTTCCACACGTTGGTGTTCATGCGTGTATGTGTGCGAGAGTTTGTGAATCACAATCAGCGAAAAAGAAGACCCAAGTAGCAAGCAAACTTTCATGTCACTCTCGCGCTCAGAGAATATCCTGCTGACGATGGCACAAGCACAGCACTCAACTACCGTTCATACATTGCTGTTCACGTAGGCATCAGCTTGCCGCATGAAGATGAGGGCATGAAGGAGCGGCACCAAGATCAAGATGGCACCCGCGCTCCAGCGTCCGTGCATGTTGATTGCTGCCATACACGGGTAAGGCTTTCACGCTTGATCACTTCTCCGCGCAAGCCCAAACCAATCAATGCGCGCTTTCGTCGAAGCCGAAGGGATCTTGTCGACCGAGTGCCCTGTGCTGCCACGATGAGTGCACCTCTGCCTCTTTTCGTGATGTTGAAAATGACGACTGGCTGGTTGTTTTGGTTGCTGAAGGTGGCTGTTGTGTGCGATGTCATCATTCTGTCACGTCATCTACCATGTTGTTGAGTAGTTGTCGTCACGGATTTCCCGTGACCAAAATCAGAGAGGACCTAGCCTGACGATAATCAGCCATGTTTTCGACGATTATGAGGCAGGAGTCCTGTTCAGCCGTCGTCAATCCGGACGAACAACACAAACAACCAACGAGACAAAACAGCAGATCGCAAACAACAGTCGACATGAAACAGCTCCGCTGATGTACATGCTTGGCTGGGCATTTATCTCTTTGTCGACGCCAACCAAGTCGACAACACCCGCATCAGGTCCAGCAGTCAGACGCAAACCACCCACCCAATAGTGCCTTGGGGCGCTTTCTCCCGTAGCAAGCAAACAAGGAGAGATCTTACACACACAGCCACACTCACACACACACACTCACACACACACACACACACACACACACACACACACACACACACACACACACACACACACACGCACACACACGCACACACACACACAGAGCCACGCACGCAATCAAACACCAGGATGTTGGTGCGTGTGCTTGCAGTTGTGGTCGCCTGTGTGGTGTCTACCACCCTCGCAGAGCTGCCGTTTGTGAACGAGTATCATGAGACCTTGAACATGGAGTGCACTGGCAGCACTGGCATCAAATCCCTCTACTCCACCCACCAAGACAACAAGGTGAGTCTGGGATGGAAGGATGGGAGCACTATTGCAGTCTTGCTTGTGTAGGTGAATCGTGCTGTTGCTGTTGATGCGGCTGTTGGTGCTGTTGTTGCTGCTGCGTGTTATCCATGTGCTCAACGCATGTACTACCTGGTCTACAAACCCTTACGACACGCCCTCTGCTCACTCACGTCGTGTGCGATTGGTTCTGTGTCGCTTCCGCTCTGATTGCGGCGTGCAGAAAGATCGGCGGTGGGGCTTTGAATGCCTCAAGTACGGCGCACCGGAGGAAGGCACAAGCATGTACAGCAGCAGCTTCGAGAACAACTACGATGACCCGCTCGACTACTCGTGCCCGAACAACTACTGTATGTCATGGGAGATTCTCGGCCTGTTGGGAGCGCCTGCTCTGCTGTGTCTGCCTGCAATTGCTTGTGATTGCCGAGCTAAGCGCGATATAGTGGCACCGGCAATCTGCTGCTGACTCAGCGGCTTCCTCTTTGCACAGGTTGCCCCTACTCTGCCTTCTGTCTTGGTTGGTCGTTACATTACCACACATTCACTCACACACAACCACAATCACTCCGTGTCGCATTCTCCATTCCACAGACGTGTACCGCATGTACTCTGAGTACGACGGCAACCCTGATGATCGCGTGTGGAAGATTGGCTGCCGCAAGGCCGTCGGTGCCACCCTGTCCTCATGCAGCTTCACTGACGACTACATCAACAGCTGGGGCAAGCCCATCGACTACTCTGTCGACAGTCGCAAAGTCCTTGCAGGCACGTTGCTCGGAGATGACTCTCTGTGCTGACTGATGAGATGCAAGGCTGGGAAGCTGCGCAGTCTGGTGCCTTGAGGGCTACTTGTTGCTTTTGTTGTCGAATGGGTGAACTATGCGGTGATACATGCGTCAACAAACACCTTTGCGTTCACATTTGCATCCTCACATTCTGGTACCTCAATTCGCATTCTTCTGATCCCCCCACTCACACACGCACACTTGCACAGGACTGTACTCTGTCCACAATGATCGAGATGAGGACCGAAGGTGGCGCATTCGTACGTGCACGTTGGATTGCGACGAAAGCAGCGGCTACATCGAGGATGACACGAGCGACTGGGGATGCACAGGTGAGCCCAAACAGCACGTGCACACGTGCCTTGAGCCCTATGCCCGCTGTTGCTGCACTGCAGCGCCGCTCGCATCTCTGTCCGCTAAGCACGCGCTTGGAACACAGAGAAGTCACATCACCAAACCTGTCGCACACACGCACACGCACACACACGCACATATGCCTCTTTGGTTTGCTAATCATCCATCGTTGTGTTCTTTGTCTTCTTCGCAGTTGTGACCTGTCCCCCGCTCACACTCACGAATGGTGTTCTGAGCGGCAGCTGTGACGGCGACTTTGGTGAGTGAGCAGTCACAAAGACATTGATGCGTGCATGCATGCCATGTTGGTTAACGATATGGTAGTGCCTGATGCGGTCCTGGCTGCATGTGCAGAATGTCTCCTCCAATCCATCCAAGCACACTGCTGTGTTGCCTTGAGTCTTGCCACGTGTTGCATTTGAACACCAAAGTCTTCAGCCTCACCTCACGCTACACGTGTTGTTGCCGTCGTTGCATCATACAGGCGATCAGTGCAGCTTCAGCTCGTGCAACAGCGGCTACGAGGTGTCAGCTTCCGGCACCAAGGGCGCACGCCAGTGCGGCATTGTCAGCAAAAATGGCGTCTGGAGTGGTTCCGCCCCAACTTGTGACGGTGTGTGCGTGTGTGTGTTTCTGTGTGTGTTTCTGTGTGTGTTTCTGTGTGTGTTTCTGTGTGTTGTGCCTAACATATGCACCCACCATCTCGAATTGGGACCTTGGACCTTGTTGCCGCTGTATTACTCATCATCCACCTCTGTGTATGCTGTGTGTTTGCATCAATCGCTCCAAATACAGACATCAACGAGTGTGTGACAGGCGCTCACGAGTGCGTTGCGCCGGCCGTGTGTGTCAACGACGATGGCTCATACCACTGCGAGTGCGACTACGGTCCCCTCTCATCAGATGGCAAAAGCTGCGATTGTGAGTGCAGGTTTCGCAAGAACGTGTGAGTGTGTGTGTGTGTGTGTGTGTGTGTGTGTGTGTGTGTGTGCGTGTGCGTGTGCGTGTGCGTGCGTGTGTGTGCGTGTGTGTGCGTGTGAACGTGAGACTACGTGTTTGTACGTGTTACATGTGAGTTGAGTTGTTTCTGACTTTCACCCGCTCCTGTCATCATATCGCGCCCCCTGTCACCATTGCTGATACTCTCAGTGGCGGGACCAAAAGCAACGTACACGCTCAACTCCCACAGCTTTGAACTAGCGATCACGGACGCCGACGAGTTTCCCACTTACGAGGTACATACGGTGTTGCATTGCTCTTCCGTCACTGTTGCTTTAGTGTCGCGTCATCATGCACAGTGCATCACGACAACACACACACACACACATGCACATACACACATGCACACACGCGCGCGCGCACATCGTGACTCACGGATGGTTTTCCGGTGTACCTCGCCTCTCTCGCAGGTGACGGTGGCTCAATGGTCACTCGATCTGTCGCAGGCAACAGAGCTGCCAGGCTACCCGGTCCAGTACACGTCGCCCCTCACCAATTTTGAAGCTTCAGATCTACAGCCTGGTCGCCGGTTCCAAGTCACCATCACCCCGTACGACAGCGACGACGCAGCAGCGACAGACTACGTGTTTGTTGGCGGCACGTCCGCGGGTGATCTTCGAACGACGTGCGGATGCCTTTCCGGTGACACAACCGGCGCCCCATCGAGCCTTGAGCTCTCGCAAGAACGCGGCATTGTCGAGTTTACGTTCACAGACCAGAGCTACTGCGAGTCCGGCTTCAACTTCTTCCGTGACGGCATCAGCATGTCCTCCTCCTACGACGTGACCAGCGAGGTGGAGTGCGGCACAACCCACAACCCGCAGCTTGTGTACGACGACCTCACCTTGCAGAAGGAGGGTGCGTTTTGGTGTCATGTGCACGTACGTGTACTTGTACGAAAGTGTATTTGTGTGTGTGTGTGTGCGTGTACTTGTATGAACGTATGCTTAGACGATGTGTGTGTGCGTGTGTGTGTGTGCGTGCATTGTGCACTGTATGCATTCATGTTCACCAATTCTGTCGTTGGATCGTTGTGTCAACACGTGCACACGCCTTATGCTTCTTTCCGTGCTTACACCCCTACCTTTCACTTCACTTGTGACTTTAAATTCCAACAGACATTTACAAGCCGCTGGATGAAGGCACAAACCACGACCTGCCGGAAGGTGAGGCCTTGTGTGCCTGCTATGCTTTTACCCCGTCTGACTTGATGAATGCGACGCGCTGGCATGTGAGTGCATATGTGAATGTGCATGCACGTGTGCAGTTACTTGCCTTTGGGAACACTCGAGCTCACCAGCACACTACCATCTGGGATGTCGATAACGCTGTGCTTGCTTCATAGGCACGTTCTTCTTACTGCTTCACACCGGTTCTTCGGAAGGCGACAAGCGGTTCGCCTTCCCATGGGAGCTGGCCATCGGTGCGTTCAAGTGTAATGGTTCACATCTTATGCGCGTGCGCGCACACACACACACACACACACACACACACACACAAACACACACACACACACATGTACACACACGCGCATGTACACACGCACGCACGCACGCACAAACACACACACACACACTTCATGATCTCACACAACCACTCGTGTGTCTGCGTTCCGGTGGTTGCGCAGGTGAGCACTTTACGTCCACGTCCACGTCGTCTTCCACATCGCAGTCAACGTCAACGTCAACCTCCACTTCCACACAGACAACGACCACAACCACGACCACAACACAGGCAACAACGACGACGCTCAACCTCGCCACCCTCAACGACACGTTCATCGCGTCAACAACGAGCACGCTTCCTGCCACGACCACGACAACGGTGGCTGATGACTCTGACGCATCGGCAGACGCGGCAACTGCGCCGTCAACGGGGCGGGTGGAGCGTGTCTACCCGTCCGGCATTGAGTCGGCCGTGACCAGCAAGCAGGAGTGCTTTGACCTCTGCGAGGACCGAAGCGAGTGGTGCATTGCGTTTGTGGTGCAGGAAGATCTGAGCGGTCAGCTGTGGTGCCACCAACTGAAGCTAATCCGCACCACCAAGCTCGACGGCAACGACGTGTCGGCAGATTCGTACGAGCGCGTGACTGTGAGCGACACGGGAGTGAGTGGCAGCTATTTGCTCGCCACAGGCATTGACGCGTGCACGGAGCTGTGCTCTGAGTCCTCTTCCTGCGAGATTGTGTTTGCTGGCGACGGGTTTTGTGCCATGGCAAACACCATGCAGACGACATCTGTGAGCCCTAGCTCGTATCATGAGAGCCTCATCATTCGCTCCCAGAAGCACCGCTATGTTGGGTCTGCGCCTGGCTCGTACAAGCAATACTGCGTTGCAGCCACCAATCCCATCGATTACACCGCTCTCGGCTACTACTCCACACGCACCTGCGCAGACCTTCAGATTGAGGTGAGTGAGAGAGAGAGAGAGAGAGAGAGAGAGAGAGAGAGAGTGTGTGTGTGTGTGTGTGTGTGTGTGTGTGTGTGTGTGTGTGTGTGTGTGTGTGTGTTGGTTTGTTGTACGAGGGTGGGGCGGATTGCCCGGAAATGTGTCGTTTGAGCTGGTTGGTGCAAAACAAATGTCACCTTTCTGCACCGAACGACCAGCCCTCACGTTCTTTGCACACGTTTTGCTCACCCCTACACACACACACACACACACACACACACACACACACACACACACACACACACACACACACACACACACACACACACACACACACACACACACACACACACACACCTACACACCTGCACACATGCATTCACACAGTGGGAGACGTTTGTTCGCGGGCGCATCCTGGTGGACTCGGGTTCGATCGATCTTGCGGTTGAAGACGTGCGCGTGGACATCAGCATCGGCACGAAATACTCTACCACGCGCTTCACGGACGAGGACGGCTACTTTGAGGTGCTCGTGTCGTCGCCAGACCTGTATGACATTCGCCAGACAATGACGCTCAGCTTCTCCAAGACCTCGGGCGAGGTTGGCCACACCTTCTCCTGCGGCGGCATGGCGTGCACGGAGATGACGCTGCAGGTGGAGCACCTTCGCTTCGACTATGAGGTGGAGGTGCGCGACACCACCTCCGTCCCCTTCTCCGGGCGTGTCACCATCCAGGGCACGGAGCACCAGGGCTACCCGGACGGGTGCCCGCTGCGCGACGTCGAGGTTTGCCTGTACGACCGCATTGACGGCGGCAAAGAACTCGTGTGCGCCACCACGGATTCGCAGGGCTACTACACGGCTGCGGCTGTGATTGGCTCTTCGGTCTACGTCATCGTCAGCTACGGCAACTCATCGCACTCCTTCCAGCGCCTGGAGTACACATCCGGCGCGCCCAATGCCCCATCGGGCTTCTACATCGGCACAGACACGTCCTCAGGCCTGGACACGCGCATCCCATACTACGATGTGCTGGACGGCAAGGAGTGGAAGGACGTCGACTTTCAGGACACCACCGTGGACACCGTGGTGGTGGACGTGGCCGGCGGCCTGTGCAATCGTACGCTTGGCCGAAGCGTGCTTGAGTTCCGCTACGACAACTGCCCGACGTGGGTGCACACGGAGCAGACGTCCAGCCGCACCTCCACATGGACGCTGCCTGCCCAGATCATCACCGTGCGGCTTGCGCGTGTTGTGCGGTCGGGCGAGGTGCGGGAGGAAATCACGCGCTACTTCAGCTCCACGCTGGGCACCTCACGCTCGCAGTATGCGGACCTGCGCAACGCGGAAGACAGCGAGGATGACGAGACAACCGTTCGCTTTGAGTACCATCCACAGCCGACGCTGAGCGTGTCCTTCACACCAACTGTGGCGCACTCTTGCTCGTACTCTGACGACACTGATTTCATCGTCATGCAGCAACGCACTGAGACGATCGCCACCGTCAAGGCCATTGAGGAGTTTGGCGCCGGTGTCGCCTCGTGCGACATTGTCGAGGGCAGCGTGACGGTGCAGAACCTGCTTGGCGAGTCCCCAACAACCGCCAACCAGGCCGTCGGCGTGACAGTGACGCAGCGGGAGCTGCTCCAGGTGTGCTACAGCGAGTGCGAGCTCGACCTAGACCTGGACGAGGTGGTCACGGCCGCGGGCACAGAGCAGAGCAATGCGCATGCCACGCTGCGACTGCTGACTGGCGGTCCGGAGCTGAACTCCGAGGCCGTTGACCCGGAACACCCATACACGAAACAGTTTCGTGTGAGCATGCAGGTGCTGCCGTACGACCCGGTCATCCTGTACAAAAAGGTGGTGGTGACCGGTCACCAAGCGCGCGGTGCATCTGGCTCGGTTCCCTTCCCGCGCTACAAGCCGCTGCTGGTGGTGCAGGACCCACCGGGCGGCCTGTCCACGGCCTCGTACTCCAGCATGTTTGCCAACTTCCGCTTCCACAGCAAGACATATGAGGCGTTTGGTGGATTTCAGCTTGGCGTTGACGTTGCGCCATACAAAACGGAAGCCGAGCTTGACCTGTGCACGGGTGCCATCGCCGCTTACAACTGCATCAACCTCGTGAGCGTCAAGTCGACGCCATACACCTTTCAAACGAAGACGACCAACCTGTTTGGCGGACAATCGCCCGACGACAACTTCAACCGGGAGCAGGTGTGGTCGTTCACGATTGACGTGACGACGAGTGACGAACCGATGATTGCTGGGGAGCAGTCAGACATGTTCCTCGTGCCGGCACTCAACGTCGTCTTCCTGGATACGGATGTGATCTCGTTCAACACCACGACGTGCAGCGTGAACCGCTCTCTGACCACGACGTGGTCGCTGGACCCGGAGGCCAACGAACAGGTCATGACATGGCTGTCTGTGTTTGAAATTGAGAGCAAGGAGCTACCGGAGCTTGAGGAGAGGCTCGAAGCGACAATTGCATCGATTGCGGAGGCGGAGGCCTCGGATGATGACGACGGTGACAACCTCGCCGATCTGCAGCAGCTGAAGGACGAGCTAGAGTTGGCGATCAGTGCGTGGAACGACAACCTGCAGCGGAACCGCAACGTGCGCAACAGCGCTGCCAGTGGCACGCTGGAGAAGGTGCAGTCGCTGTGGACGGCCGGCAAGTACCTGTCCAACGAAAACGCGAACCCGATCCAGGGCAAGGTGAACAGGAGGATTGCGTTCGCACCCAACGACAGCATCGACAACGCCAAGAACCTGGATGGCACAGACACGACTGGCGAAGATCAGGCCACGTTGCGAGAGATTAGTGCCATAAAGTTTGCTGGTGGCGGGTCCCTCTACTCCTTCTCCTTTGACTACAGCAACCACAAGAGCGCCGTGTCGTCGTCCAAGAGCAAGCACAACTTTGAGGGCGGTGGCACCGTGAGCTTTGACGTTTCATCCAGCACTGGCGGGGCTGATTTCTCCGTCACGGCGTTGGGGCTGACGGAGGTGGAGACGAGCAGGGAAACGGAGGAAGGCTATGCGAAGGAGAGCAGCGCTGGGTTTGAACTTGGTGACGCTGATCCACTGGATGTGTTCGATGTTGAGGTGTACGTGCACCCTGACTTTGGCACGCTGGTGTTTCACACCACCTCTGGCCAGTCATCCTGCCCGCCCGAGAACAACACCATTGCCTTGGAGAACCCACGGATCAGCATTCTCAAGCAACCTGCTGCACCTGTCTTACCCAATGAGCCGGCTGTGTTCGAGCTCTTGCTCACCAATGACGGTCCTGTCGCCACTGACTTTAACGTGGGTGTCGTATGTATATATATGTGTGTGTGTGTGTGTGTGTGTGTGTGTGTGTGTGTGTGTGTGTGTGTGTGTGCGTCGATGCTTCTGCTTGTGTTGAGTTGGATCCCTGTGTGCGCTTATGTTTGCTGATGCGTGCACCCTTGTGTTACTCCCGCAACATTTTCTTCTCATTCACCCGTGACGTTGTTTGTGTCTATGCATTCGCAGCTCTTCAACTTGAACAGCGAGAACCAGGACGGCCTGACGATCATGGTGGATGGCCACCCACTGACACACCCCATCGACTTTGAGGGCTTTGCAGTTGGCGCGCGCCACGTGACAATCTCACTTCTTCGTGGACCAAGTCTCTATTCATATGATCCCGTTGCTGTTGGCTGGCGATCCCTGTGCGAGGCAGACAGGCACCCCGACAACGGCTACACAACCGATGAAGTGACCACTGTCCAATATGTGTACCTGGAGGCCGAGTTCCTGCAGCCATGCAGTCCTGTTGAGCTGGTGGGCTCGATTGGCGAGACGGAGACGTTTGAGGTGAACCAAGCTGTGGACGAGCAAACCTCCCACCCTGGCGAGCTGCGCATCGTTGCGTTCAACTCGGACTTTGCAAGCCGCAAGTGGACAGAGGACGACAGGCTTGAAGGAGTGTACGTCGAGTACAAGCCCGCCGCCTCCTCCGTGTGGCTGCTGGCGCGTGACATTGACGGCAATACGCTGGACGTGCGACTGATGGAGAATGAGTACGGTTACGTGACCACCTACTGGGACGTGTCCGGCATCACGGACGGCGACTACGAGCTGCGCATTCGCGCGCAGTGCACGGCGTCGATCAACGAGGTGCCGGATGGCATTGACGAGCAGTACTCTTCGACAGCAACGGGCGTGATTGACCGGTCGGCGCCACAGGTCCTGGGGTACCCGGAGCCAGCGGACGGGGAGTACTCACCCGGGGACGAGATTGCGTTTGAGTTTGACGAGGACGTGCAGTGCGCAAAGCCGTTCTGGTTTGAGGTGCAGATGACCATTGACGGGCTGGACGAAGTGTTTGCGAACGACGACATGGTGATGGTGTGCGAGGGCCGCCGCATCACCATGTCCCTGGTGCGCGGGTTTGCGTGGGATGACGTGAGCGGCCGCTCGGCGCGCGTGACTCTGAACAGCGTCCAGGACCCGTACGGCAACGTGGCGTCACAGGAGTTTGTGCTCGAGTTCCAGTTTGCGCTTGTGGCTGCGGAGGCGCTGACGACACAGCTGACGGGCATCGAGCTACCGCTGCCATTTGAAGACGCGTTTTTCAACACGAAATCGCCCGAGTACCAGAACGTGACGGCGCGCATTGAGGCAGACATTGCCAACGCCACGGGCATTGTCGTGACACGTGTGCGTGTTGCGTCGCTGGCGCCCACGGACCTGTTTGACTACGACGCGGGCATCACGGTGAGCGTGTACCTGCTGCCGGAGGACACGGCCACGCGGCGTCGGCGTCGGCGTGATGGCCTGCCAAGCCTGTCCCCATCGCGCGCTGCCCAGTTCTTCAACAACATTCTCATCAACGGCACTGCCAACCTTGGCCGCAACAGCCTCTTCTTCAATGTCTCAACCCTCGGGCGGCCAGAGATGATGGTGCTGACGAGCAACCGCAACGGCAACAGCATTGACACCACGTCCACTACGTCCCAGCCATCAACATCGACTGGGGAGACCGTGGACTCTGGTGCGAGCTCCAGCAAGCTTGAGAACATGACGGAGCTGAACACAAACCTCTCATGTGAGTGCACTGCGTGTGTGTATGTGTGTGCCTGTGTGCGTGTATGTATGTATGTGTGTGTTGTGTTGATTGGGTGGTTTGCAAATGTGGTGTTCGTACGATATGGTGTTGATGGTTGATGCGAAACATGATCCTACGAGAGGCATGTGTGAACTCTGTTGCATCACCTCCAACTCACACGTGCCCTTCAACCTTGTACCCTGCTGTTTGCTACTCTGCATTGCGCTGCTTAGACGCAATCCTCGTGCTGGTGCTAGTTGTGATTGTCCTTGAGGTGCAGCGCATCGTGTATTCGTTCCGCAAACACACCTACGCGGTCAAAGAGCCACCGATGGTCGTTGCCCACCAAGCACAGGCAAGCCGGGCCTCCTTCGAGCTCCATGGCGGTCGCAGCACCTCCTCTTATGGCCGCCCTTTCTACGATGACTTTGATGGCGAGACCACGACCACCATGTCTCACGTGTAACTATGCGCAGTGGCGGTAGTGTGTGTGTGTGTGTGTGTGTGTGTGTGTGTGTTGGACAGAAAGCTGAGTTGTGGCAGCATCTTGGCCAAGTGTTCCGAAATTCCCTTGCACTGTTGCTTGTCCGAGCTTGGCATTTGCTTCGTAGCAGCGCTCTTCCTTGTTGTCATTGGTTCGTCTTGGGCGTGATGTGAGTCGTCTTGGACGGCGCTTCCTTGTGCTTGTATGTTCTGATGCATCGTCATTGTCATTGGGTTGCGGTCCAAGGGTCCAGTCCGCTGCTGCTGTCTTCTGGTTGTGCCCGCCTCCCTGCTTCTCTTGCTTCATTCTTTCATTTTTCCCTCATTTCCGTTTCTTTCATCCCGGTCATGTTGATGTTACGACTTGTGCCTGTGTGGTCCTCTTGACTATGGGCGGCACTCCACGACCTGAGTTGCCCAATGAGCAAGTGGGCATGCATCTCCATCCATTCCACATGTGCTGGACGCACCGTTTAGCCGAAATTTTGTCATGATACCATATATTTCTCCACAACCAACACAACACAAACAAACAGCAGACAACGATGAGGCAACTGCCTTTGTTGCCAGCTTGTGGCTTGTTCGTCTTCCGACTATCCTTGCTATCAGGTCTATCAGCACCACGACGTCCTGTTGTCCTTGTGACAGTCCTCCTCTTCTTCTTCTTCTTCTGTTGCGTGTCGTACCCGTGGGTTGCTGCGCAGCCGATGTTTGTGCAGGATGACGATGGCGCGCTGCACATCAACACCACAGGGCCACACCAACAACAGCGACCACCAGTGCTTGTGAATGGCGTGGATGTCACCGGCATGCTGCAGGCTCAGCAACGCGCGTTGTCGGACCACCTCGGAGTCATTGAATCGCATGCGGCCACGATTCAGTCGCAGGGCCTCACCATCGCACGAATGTGCAAGGCAGCGTCGCTGCCTATTGATACAAGCACCATGGCCGGCCTTGGGACCGTGGGAGGCAAGTGGCTTGGCGCCGTGCGGGCGAACAACGGCTTGGTGTACGGGATCCCGCATCAGGCAAACGCTGTCCTCATCATCGATCCCATTTCCAAAGCAGTGGACATGACAACCATGTTTGTTGGCGCAGGCGGTTACAAGTGGGTGGGTGGTGTCCTGGCCAACAACGGCCTGATTTACACGTTTCCCAGCGCGTCGCCCGCCGTCCTCATCATCGATCCAGCCAAGAACACGACGGACACCACCACTCTCGGAAATGTGCGTTTCGGCGGCAACAAATGGCAGGGCGGCGTACTTGCCACTAATGGGTTCATCTACGGCATTCCACGCGACGACACAACCGTGCTCATCATTGACCCAAAGAAGAACACGGCCGACACGGCGAGCATTCAGGGCCTCGGAGGGGCGTCCAAGTGGTTCGATGCAGTGCAGCCTCCCAACGGGCTCATCTACTCTGCGCCGACAGCCGCAACGAGTGTGCTCATCATCGACCCGGCAACAAACACTGCCGATACCACGTCCATCAGCGGTCTTGGACCGGGCATGAAGTGGTATGGCACTGTGCTCGCAGACAACGGCCTCATCTACGGCATTCCGTACGATTCGCCGTCTGTCCTTGTGGTGGACCCAAGCACGAACACGGCTGACACGACGACCGTGAGCGGGCTCAATTCATCACCACCTCAACGGTTCAAGTGGGTTGGTGGCGTTGTTGCTGCCAATGGTTTCATCTACGGGTTGCCCAGTTACGCATCAGCCGTCCTCGTCATCGACCCGTACACAAACACGACAGACGTCAGCACGCTACCTGCATCAGGCAACACCCCAAAATGGTTTGGAGGTGCACGTGCCAGCAATGACATCATCTTTGGTGTTCCTGACGCTGCAGACGTCATCGCCATCGTAACGCCCTCGTGTTAGACAAAGGGTTTGTGTGTGTGTGTGTGTGTGTGTGTGTGTGTGTGTGTGTGTGTGTGTGTGTGTGTGCCTGCCTGACTATGTCTCTCACACCTTTTCTCATGTCATGTCATCGCGTCACGCGCTGTCTTGGTCATACAAGGAAGCATCATACATGTATTTTGTGCTGGTGTATTTCCACATCATGTGGCCACAGGACAATACAAACCACATTATGATCGGTGACTGAGCTACAACGTGCGCACGAGGCGGCGAGGCAACAGCAACACCAGCAGCAACAACAGTAGCAGCACCAACAACAACCACAATAATAACAGCAACAATCAAGGGTGTGCGTGTCGAGACATGCGCTCGTGTGTGCTCACAGCTGGCATCCAGAGCATCAAGAACAAAGCATCATCAGCATCAGCAGCAGTACAGTGGTGCATGGGCACGGCATCGCAGCACAGTGAAACAGGCGAATAAACAAACGATCGCATATGACGGAAGCGGATGGGGTTTTGAGTGAGAGAGAGAGAGAGAGAAGAGGAGGGGAGGATAGGTGGAAGGCAATGTGTGTGTGTGTGTGTGTGTGTGTGTGTGTGTGTGTGTGTGTGTGTGTGTGTGTGTGTGTGTGTGTGTGTG